AAATGATCCGGTGACAAGGCGTTACATACAAAAACAACCTCATAGGCGTTGTTGGAGAGAAGACTGGACCATTAGAGCGACAGCTGCCCGAGGACCAGAGATCGAGCTCTAAGTCGACCTTGAGTTGCCAGATCGGAGAAGCTAAAAGTGTGTTAAGATGGTGTTCTTGAAGACCCTGTTGATCCGTCGTCGTGGCGTGCTGTTGAAGCTGGTGGTGGCTCTCCCGGCTCTGTGGCTCCTCATCAGCCTCGTCACCCTCTCCGAGAAGGCTGACAAGAACGACGTCATGGACCTGCCGCCCGCCGTCAGGATCAGAGACAATCAGGCGCCTCCAGACAACAGAATCATCAAAGTTGACAGCATCAAGGACCTTCCGGAGCGCGCCGACAGACCGCAGCCGCCGCCGGAGGTGCCCAGGGTACCCAAGCCCCACAAACCCGAAGTCAAGTCGATGACGAAGACGGACGAGCCTCATGAGGTGAGTAGGGGGGGGGGGGAGGGGGGAACTTGGTTGTAGTGTGTGTGTTGGGGGGGGGGGGAGCTGCGTGTTAGTATGCTCACAATAGTCGTCCCTTGGCCTTTCCTGGTTTCGATTGCAGGAGTGTTTTTTCTTCATTCTGTAATGCTGAAAGGATCACTCTTGTTCCTATGTCATATAACGTTGCATTTGTGTGGGTTAAAGTTCAGAAGTCATTTGTCAAAACGCCTCGTGTGTGTTTCACTTTGCCATATATCTTTTGTTAGGTACCGGCAAGCATTGGTATGAACAAGCTAATTTCTGTATAAAGTATTTGACTTGCATAAAGGGCGAGTGGACGCCAGCACCGACCCTTGTGGTAGTTCGGTTGTTATACCTCTTATCTAGTCTTTCCCTTCTCACTTTCTTCCTCTCACACCCTGCCTCTCACACCCTGCCTCTCACACCCTGCCTCTCACACCCTGCCTCTCACTCTGGTACTCCAGCGTGAGTCTCTAGGCTGAGGAGCAGTCTCGTGTCTGAAACTGTACCGGATGCTGTCTGCCGAGTGGGCAGACTTCATCTTTAGTTCAGGATGATGAAGTCTGCCCATCGCTTGTCTGGTTCCGTTAACATGTAAAACTTTGAAAGTTGTAAAATCCATACAGTAAAATACTTGTTAGTAATTACGGTCTTCCTCCTGTTTATTGACATCATATTAGTGTGGAGCCGGTGGCTGAGCGGACAGAACACTGGACGCGTGATCCTGTGGTCCCGGGTTCGATCCCGGGTGCCGGCGAAAAACAATGGGGCAGAGTTTCTTTCACCCTGATGCCCCCTGTTACCTAGCAGTAAATAGGTACCTGGGAGTTAGTCAGCTGTCACGGGCTGCTTCCTGGGGGTGGAGGCCTGGTCGAGGACCGGGCCGCGGGGACACTAAGCCCCGAAATCATCTCGAGATAACCTATCAAGATAGCTGCTCGCCCACAGTCTGATAACTCTTGTTTTTTTTTCCGTGAGAACTTGAACACACTAGGTACGCACAGTGCTTCCGCTGCTTCTTTCAGTATCAACAATGATACACTGTTTGAGCTTAGGCTTTCATCATGCATACTTCCCCTAGCTACTTCCTTGCTACTTGCTCTGTCAATTATTTTTCGACATTTCCTGGGGTGTGATATCACCAGGCTCTTAGATCTGAGAGGTCAGGTCAGGTTCCAGCTTGTGCTCCTAATTAAAATATCCATAAAGTCCTTCACATGCTAATCATTGTGCGTTAAGTTTGTGTGTAAAATCTCGATAACTTGGTCATTGACAAATCGTCTTCATGTGGCAATGGACTAGTTTAGGCTGGTCCTTGGCTTTGGTTGCTGTATCATTCTTGTACTGTTTTTTAATTTTGTTTTTCCTGCTCATTCCATTCCTTTGTATTCTTTTTCGATCTTGTATGCAAGTGGTGATTCCCTTCTGTTATATGCACACTTTCACCGCATGATCTTTTGCTTGTTTTGCCTGAAGGCACTGCTTGTCAACCCATAGATTAATGATCTTGGTTCCTTCCTCTTTAAGGGCGCTACGAATCTTTCTTCGGCTAATGTGTATTGAACATTTTTAATTTTTTCTGGAAATTGTGCACTTGTCTGGAGGGTTTTATTATATATGTGAGACTCGTTGATTATTTAGCATAGGTGGTGTGTGTGGACCATTTGTGGTGAATGAGTCTCGGATGACAAGTATGAGGCAGCAACAGGTGTGTGTGGATGTGTGTTTGTGTGAGGCTACAACATTCCACACATATGTGTCATGTTTGTCTCTACCCTCTCCTCCCCTCTTCCCCCAGATCCATGCGGAGCAGGGGGTGCTGCTCCCCCCACAGGAGCCCAACGGGCCCGGGGAGATGGGTAAGCCCGTCACGCTGCCCAAGGACCTCGACCCAGAGACCAAGAAGAAGGTGGACGAAGGTTGGAAGAACAACGCCTTCAACCAGTACGTCTCTGACATGATATCTGTTCACCGTAGCCTACCGGACCCACGCGATGAGTGGTGAGTACACTCCACACCTGTCTCTCTCTTTAATTCACACCTGTGTGGGCAGTTGTCTACGCCTGCACGGGCAGTTGTTTTACATGTGTTCGTGGTGAATTTGCTGTGTGTTGATATCATGTTCATCGTCGAACGTGGACACCAATTCCTGTCCACCGTTAACGGGACCATTTTCACGCCTGTCTACCGTTAACGGAATAGGGGCGACACTACCTGGGGACAGACTATACCCATCCGTCTGCATGACTGAACGTCACAGCTGCTGAGAGCTGTGACGGGTAGGAAGGTCGCAGGTGTCTGCTGGAAATCCGGACCGACAGCTTAGCTTGAATGCGCGTCTGCTTGAGAGTGAGATTGTGGTTATTGGAGTGGATGAAGGGTGGTGTGTGTGTGTGGGGGGGGGGGAGGGGAAGGTGTGTGTGGGGAGGGGGTGTGTGGGGAGGGGGTGTGTGGGTAGGGGGTGTGGGTAAGCAGCAGGTGCCGTGAGCGTGCAGGTGTTACCCCTTGGTAATGCTGGCGTCTGGGAGGATTTACGTGGGTGTTCACAACAGCACAAGTCCACTCAAGAGATGATTTACAGGGACCGAAGGCGCTGTACTTGGAACGTTGGGAGGAGTTGTGTTATTACCGGTGTTGTGGGGCCCTCCCCTTCTCCCCCCTTCCTTGTTAGCTGCCTGCTCGCACCTGCTGCTGCTGTAGCGGTCGCTGCTGTTAGTGTTACTGCTGGTGTATCTTGGAGACGTTGTAACAAACGCCCATATAACATTAATCAACACATTTAACACATCGCTTTTTAATGATGCAGTGAATGTTGTAAAGTTTCAAATATGATTTTGCAATTGAAGATTTAAAATTATATTTCTTCACACAAATGCTAATTGTCACTGTCCAAACTTTTCTTCGATCAACAAACATTTTAAAGAAAGACGTATTTTTGGCGCCAAATAAGACATTCAATTGTTGGTTCACACCAATTCTAAATTGGGGGGGGGGGAAAGAGGGCACGATTAGACACGCTTAAATATTTTGTAATAAGTCACTATTATACGGAGATAACTATACCAAATTAGTCTTGCAAACCTGTAGTTTCTTTAAGAAATGGCAGTAAGGCGGCTGTTTATAAGATGGTGAGCCCGTCTCTTGGTTCATGTGTCAGTAGTTGGTAAACTCTTGGAAGCAAACATTAGATTAATTAGTTTTGACAGTTCTCACTCCCTCTCGCCATCACCCTCCCTCTCCACTCCCCGCGCTCTCCCTCACTCCCCGCGACTAAGGAGAGGTGCAGTGGTTAAGAGGACGTGTGAACGCTGGTGGAGAGGACTAGTATCATCAACCCAAACTGAGCTGTTCGCCATACAACAGGCATTCGCATATGTGATTGCACAAAACACTCAAAATGCAATCATACACACAGACTCAAAAGCTGCACTTCAAATACTAGGACAAAAACAGCGGAAAGATAATGTGGAAATAATTACCACCATTTTGTATCTTGGAGCAGTCGCTAAAGGCAAAGGACTCAACATAACTTTAAACTGGATCCCATCCCATTTTGGAATCCCATTAAATGAAAAAGCTGATGAAATTGCTAAATTGGCAACTCGTCATCCAGTGATACATAAAACAATTCAACCCAGCCTAGAGAACATAAACATCATCACCAAAAAACTCTCACATCTCAACAAGGCCTACCTGCACCAGAGAATAGCTGAAGGTTCGCCATCTGCAACATGGTATCTTCAGGCAACCAAATTAGAAAGGTTAAATATCCCAAAAGGAATCCACAGGGAAATAGCAGTTAGGTTATATAGACTACGTCTAGGTTACAGATGCAACTGGGAGATTGGTGAACCCCGACAGAGAGAGTGCATCTTCTGCCAAACTGTCACAGAAAAGCCATTACTTCACTGTCTTCTGGAATGTGAAGCAACCAATGACCTTAGAAGAGCTTTAAGAGTTCCTGAATCATGCAGTGGCCACCCTGAAGCCATCAACACAGCCACTCTCCTGGTCAACAAAGGTGTCCAGCAGCTGGACACCCTCATAAAGACTGTGAAGCAGTATCCTCCCCCGCGATAACAGCTTGATGGTTAAATGCAACCTCAGAATACTGAGAAAAAAAATTGTACCACTTATGGGCTATTCATGCCCGTGCCACCTCTTGGGTGGCTTAATCTTTATCAATCAATCTGATGGAGACCCCGCCACGATGGCAGCGCCCACCACAGCCGCCCGGCTGAAATACCCAATTGATCACTTCCGTCCGCCTGTCCCACGACGGGGGGGGGGGGAGGTGAGGGTGGAGATAGTCGACGAAAGTACCACGGCTACTTTCCTCCGTGTGGGAGAATATAATCTCAACATTTGTCCCCCCCCCCCCCCCCTTTCGCTCTCTTCAATTTTTCTCCCCCCCACCCCCGTCACTTTCCTCTACCACCGTCCCTCTCCCCCCCCCTCCCACTTTACCTTCCCCTGTGTGAGAGAGGGAGGGAAGACGGGGGTGCTTATGAGATTTGTGAAGGTCAGATGATTTTTTTTTTTTTTTTGCATTTCCAAATTGCAGGCATGGAGAAACTTGTCACCGGGTTCAGGGGTGGAGCAGCTGTGGTTGCAGAGGGTGGAAGCTTAGCTTAGGGCAGGAGCTTCGGGAGGAACTGAAAGACGAGGCAGTTATTGGTTTTGGGTGAACAAGGTGGAACTTGCTGGACGTGATGTCAAATGGTGCTGGATTTGATTGGTTGGCACGCTAGGTGGAACAATAATTGATTGGGTGACATGTTGATGGAACAGAATGATTGGTATTTGAGATTACTTTAATCGGCAGTCTATCTGCTGAGGATGACTAGAACACAAGTCGGAGCAGTTACAGCTGCTATTTCTCATTTCATTGTGGGTTATTCTGCACATGATTTACATATAATCACGCGCGTACGTACGTCCATAACTCCATACCTAGTTAAACACAAGACAAATTAGAAGATTCAGAGGTATGCCACCAGACTAGTCTCGGAACTGAGAGGTATGAGCTACAAGGAAAGGCTAAGGGAGCTGAACCTCACATCCCTGGAAAACAGAAGAGTAAGGGGAGACATGATCACCACCTTTCAAAATTCTCAGGAATTGACAGGGTGGCCAAACTCTTTAGTACGGATGGAATACGAACTAGGGGACACGGGTGGAAACTTAGTACCCAAATGAGCTACAGAGACGTTAGAATTTTTTTCGTGTCAGAGTAGTTAACAAATGGAATGCATTAAGTAGTGATGTAGTGGAGGCTGACTCCATACACAGTTTCAAATGTAATTTGATAAGAACCCAGTAGGCTCAGGAATCTGTACACCAGTTGATTGACGGTTGAGAGCCAAAGTTCAACCCCCGCAAGAACTAGGAGAGTACAAAGAGGTGAGCACACTCAGTCAGTCAGTCAGTCAGTCACATTACTTCAGAAGAGAGCTTGTCTGTTATTGAGAGAGTTAGATCCTATAGAGTTTAACTGGTTGATGTGTGTTGTGTACAGAAGCAGCTAACGCTCCTGGTTAAACTCCTGCACAACATAATTAGGGGAAGGCAAGATAACACTCCGCTCGTGATTTATGCACTAAACGCTGGAAGTTAAAATGAATAGGAATTTGGCACACGCCTGTACGTTAATTGACTAAGGACATGTGTATCTGGTTATCATTGAACAGGACACACACAGACAGACAGACAGACACAGGTGTTCTTCTGTGTCAAGCTTGCAATCCTGAATACGAACACTGTTCTCGGATGAAAAATAAAATTCAGTGACTTTTTAAACGGCACAAGACATTATAATCACCACCGGACGCCATACACAACACACGTGATACACAACACACGTGATACACAACACACACACGTGATACACAACACATGGCGTCCAGTGTAAAGTCACCACCACCCCAGACACTGAAGACCCACCGAGGCAAGCCGGCGAAGCTCCCGCGATTAATATACCAACCGGAAAGTTGGTTTCTTAAGTGGTCTGAGAAAGAGGACTAAGAGTCGAGTTAAGAGACCCTGAGGAGGTGGCCCAGAGCGAGGCCAGGATAGACAATACTCACAAGAGTCAAGAAAAAGACTTGCTGAATTGACACGAAAGTTCCACTGGCAATATCACAAACTTTCTTCTGTTCAAGTTCCCTAAATCAACCAAAAAGTTATTTTTCCATTTTGCGACGTTGAAGGCCCTTGAGAGCAGCTGTGTGCATTATTGACCAACTTTGCCCTGGAGGGCATTCCTTGTCGGAAACTTGGGTGCTGCTCAAACTTGGCGATTCCAACCTCCCCTCCCTCTCTCGGCTGCATGGTGGCTACTACTGCTACTGGTACTGCTGCGACTGCTGCTGCAGCAGGCATCTGGCTGCTGCTGCAGCAGGCATCTGGCTGCTGCTAATAGTGGCATCTGGCTGCTGCTGCTGGAAGACAGCAAATGTGATATAATTCATCGCCGAGAAACTTGCCGATCCAACGAAACCGTTCACACCTCTGGAGGAGGAGGAGGAGGAGACTGTGGACGGAAAATGTAAACTATTGGTGCAATAGACAATGCAAGGAAGCTCAAGAAAGACGAACAAATTAGAAAATAGAGAACCGGGAACAGAGGATAATCAGAGGCACTACAGTGGACCCGAGATAAATACACCAGAGTTAGAAGAGAGGCGGAGAGGCAGTTTGAGTGATGTTGCTGCAAAAGCCAAGGCTCGAGCAAAGTTGTTATATATAGCCATATAACAAGAAAAAGTGCAAGACCATGTACTCTGAGGAGACGAGGAGGAATTTTCACAGAAAATGATAATGGGATATGTGAAGAACTCTACAAAAGATCTCAAGAGATCTTAACATTAACACCAGCATAGAAAGCAAAGTTGCAGGATGAAAAACTAGAAGAAACAATGGATGACATTGCAGTTACCATAGAAAAGGTAAAAAAAAAAAAAAATCCAGGATTTTTTTTAATCACTACATGTAATAAAAAT